GCAAGTTACACCACTGAGATCCTTCTTGGCACCAAACTATGATGGACTGAGGGATGGTGTGAAGCAGATAAAATGCCTCTTATACTTTTCTATGTGGCCATCCTGAGTTTGAGCTCCTAAGGGTTTATGTAGCTTCTTCATTGTACTCTAAGCTCTCCCATAGCTATTTTCATCAGTATGTAGTTGTTTATAGTTTGTTTCTTTTGGGGGGCGGAGGGGAGCGGAATGAGTGTCAGGACTCCTAGTTCACCATCTTCTTGATGTGACTTCCAGAAAATATTTTATGTTTAAAAGACTCATTTCCTCTCTTTGGTCTCAACCACAAAAACAAGATGACAAAAGGGACGTCATCATTTGGAAAGTATCATAATAAGAACCACACATTATATATCACTACTATGGCTCTCAGCCCTACCACATCTTCAGAAGTTGACCTATGGCAAATGTAGCTATCCTGCCAAGCAGAAGAGAGAATAACTGGAGTGCCAAGGCTAAAAGGTGAAATACCACTGGGACTGATCTAATGAGGCCTCTAAAAATTGTATACCACAGATTAAGGCATGGATTTCATGAAGAAACAACACCTAAACCCAAAAAGGCAACTGTTGCACCATCCAGTTCATCTTAAGGATTTCAGTGATTAATCATACAATAAATGTTCTGGTTTAAAAAAAAAAGAAAACTAATTTCCTGTATTCCAGTTTCCATTTCTGCACATAAGAACTTGGATATCATCATTCCTCCCTAACGACAAGTAGAAACGTGAACAGAATGTAAACTCAAATTCTTCTTAGATCCATGAAAGAGCAAAAAACACAGGGCAAACCACTGCCTACAAGATCAGAGAGACAGACAAGCAAATACAGGGAGTCACAGCTTACCAGAGCAGAGATTTGCTCTGTATAGGAATACCTAAACTGTAATTGAAGAATTGCTGGAGGCCCAGTGAAGACAAATCTGAGAGGTAAAAACACCATTGGCCAAGTCATAGGGGAGGACCCCACAATCTGGTTTACTTCCAGGAACTCAACTAGGTTCTCACAGTAAATACTGGAGAAAAACCCCTTTGTGCATCTGGCAGGGGAAGAGGGAAAAGCAGCATTTTGAAATATACCAGAACATTCTGTTTTTCTTAACAAGATAAGCTCTCTGGAAAATCAAACTAACCAGAGCCCAACTTGCTGGCGCATTATCAGCACATAATTGACCTACAGAATGGAAATGCACAACTCCAGTCACCTCTAGCCTTCCACACAAGATAAAGGAAATACCTAACTCCAATCCACACTAGCCATTCTAACCCATCTAAGAGGGGGAAAAAAACTGAGAAAGACTTGTGAAATTTAGTCCAGTGCAGAGGCATGGGCTCACTAAAATACTAAGAGCTAATCACAGAACTAAAAACTCTTCCCCTCCCCCATACCTTACCACCACATTACTAAAGTCATATTTACAATACTAAATTTACAATTTACAATACTAAATACTAAATACTATTTACATACTAAAGTCATATTTAGTTTCTTTGCCTAATACATCATGTCAAGTTATACAGATAGAATTTTTGTATCCCCCCAAAATTCATGTTAAACCTAATCCCCTATGTGATGTTATTTGGAGGTGGCACCTTTGGGAAGTGATTAACTCATGAGCACAGAGCTCTGATAAATGAGGTTAGTGTCCTTATTTGAACAACAACAACAACAGCAAAGTCACCCAAGATAGCTCCCTTGCCCCTTCCACCATGTAAAGACACAGCAAAAAGATGACCTATGAACCATAAGTGAGCTCTCAACAGAACTGAATCTGTTGCCACCTTCATCTTGGGACTTCCCAGACTCCCAGAGCTATAAGGAATAAATTTCTCTTATTTATAAGCTACCCCATCTGTGATATTCTATTATAGCAACCCAAACAGACTAAGACATCTAGTTATTAAGAATCAATTACAACAAATATAAAAAAAAATTAGAAGAAACAGGGCAAGCATCAGAGCCAGACATGGCAGGAAGGGTACCATCATCAGATGTGAAACTTAAAACAAGTAGGATTACTAGGCTAAGGGCTCTAATGAATAAAGAAAACAGAAGGCAAGAAGAGATGAGAACCACAAAAGGCAGAAAAAGAATGAATGAGAAAAATAGGAGCAAAAAACAAGGGCATCAAATAGAAAACAGTAACAAATGTGGTAGATATTAATCCAACTATATCAAAGATCCTTGAATGTCAATGGTCTAAATTTACCAATTAAAAGACAGATATTATATATCTATATCTATATCTATAAATTAAAAGCAAATGGAGAAAAACACACCATGCTAACACTAATCAAAGGAAAGCATGACTAGGTGTAATTTCAGACAGTACAGATTTCAAAGCAAGGAAGGTTATCAGGGCTAAAGAAGATCATTACATAATTATAAAGAGGCCACTTCTCCAAGAAGACAATTTTTAACGTGTATGTGTCTAACAACAATGCAGCAAACTAAATGGGGCAAAAACCAATAGATCTGCAAATAGAAATATCACAGTTCAAGACTTCAACACCCCTTTCTCAGGCAGGCATAAAATCAATAAGGACATAATTGCAATCAATAATATCATCAATATCAATACACTAGATATAATTGACATCATTAATAGCAATGAAAGCATATATGTAAATCTAAGTTCCCATCTTAGGAAAACTTAAAAAAACAAATTAAATTGAAAGTAGGTAAAAGGAAAGAAATAAGTAGATTTAGAGCAGAAATCAATAATATTAAAAATAAATGAAAAATAATGAAAACAAAAGTTGGTCTTTAAAAATATCAATCAAATCTATAAGTCTCTAGCCAGACAAACTAAGAAAAAAAGAGAGAGGGCACAAATTACTGATATCAGAAATGAAGGAAAGAACATCACTACAGATCTCACAAACATTAAAAGAATAAAGGAACATTATGAACTCTATGCTCATACATTTGATAAGCCTGATAAAATGGACCAATTCCTTGAAAAGATTCAAGCTTTCAAACTCACACAAGAAAAAATAGATGATCTGAATAGGCGTATATCTATTTTAAAAATTGAATCCATAATTAATAACCTTCCTAAAAAAAGAAAGCACCAAGCCCAGATGGATTCACTGGTGAATTTTACCAAACATTAAAGGAACAACTTAGATCAATTCTCTACAAACTCTTTCAGAGGATAGAAGCAGAGGGAATACTTCCTCTCATTCTATGAAACCACCATAACCCTAATACCAAAACCAGAAAAAAAAAAAAAATTACAAATATAGAAAACTACAGACCATTATCTCTCATGATTCCAAATTATACACTTTTTATCCTGTTTGAGACTTATAATTGTAATCCTATAAAAACAATTATATTATTCTATTATCGTGTCTTTTCATTTCTAGAAACAATACTTTTCATTGCTGATTGATATTCAGGGGAAGACTAAGGAAATCAAATGCAGAGAAAATTCTTATTGAAATAGCTTTGATTTTTCAGCTGTGAATCATTTATTTACCCTTACTCTAAATGGGTTCATTTAAAAATTTTTATTCTATACTCTTCAAAGTTTTTTTTTTTAATTTTTTACTTGAGTATAGTTAATACATAATGTTACATTAGTTTCAGATGTACACGTAGTGATTCAATTGCTCGATACATTACGCTATGCTTGCTACAAGTGTAGCTACCATGTGTCATCATATAACACTATTACAATATCACTAACTATACTCCCTTTCTGTCCCCTTTATTCTCATGACTTATTCATTCCATAACTATAAACCTGTATCTCCCACTCCCTGTCAACCCCCTCCACTCCTTTCCTCTGGCAACCATCAGTTTGTTCTACACATTTATAGGTCTGATTCTGCTTTCTGCTTATTTGTCTATCCACTTGTTCTGTTCTTTTAAACTTCACATATGAGTGAAATCACACAATATTTCTCTTTCTCAGTCTGATTTATTTCACTTAGTAGAATATTCTCTACGTCCAACCAGGTTGCTGCAAACAGCAAGATCTCATCCTTTTTTATGTCTATGTAATAGTCCATCATTCAAGTTTTTATGTTTAAATATAAAAAATATACTGAAGAGGAAAAAAAAAGTTCCAGGGCTTTATTTGCCTACAATTTCTAAATAAGTAAACTGAAGGGGCGCCTGGGTGGCGCAGTCGGTTAAGCGTCCGACTTCAGCCAGGTCACGATCTCACGGTCTGTGAGTTCGAGCCCCGCGTCGGGCTCTGGGCTGATGGCTCGGAGCCTGGAGCCTGTTTCCGATTCTGTGTCTCCCTCTCTCTCTGCCCCTCCCCTGTTCATGCTCTGTCTCTCTCTGTCCCAAAAATAAATAAACGTTGAAAAAAAAAAAAATTTAAAAAAAATAAATAAGTAAACTGAAGCATAGCTACAAAAAAAATTTAATGGAATTTTGGGTTTTATATTGATAAATATATACTATCTAGAAGGAGGATGAAAATCCCGTGTACAAATCAGACCATACCAAGAATATTATGCTTAGTTCTAGTATCAGATTAAAAAGAGAGACAGACAGAAAGGAGACTCACAAACTACTTTAAGAAGATCCCTAGACAACTTCAAAGGAAAATAAACTGTCATGAAGTTAAATAATAAGAATAGTCAAAAGTAGTTAGAACTTTTATCCTTACTAGAAAAAGACTAAAAAGAAAGCATAGGAAGAGGGAGAAAAAGTAGGCAGAAAGCAGGCAAGTTTAGGTCAGTTTAGGAAGGAAATTGTAAGAAACAGAGTTGTCCACTAGTGAAACAATAAACCTTAGGGCTAGTGAGTTCTTTATCACAAGAGGTGATCAAGCAGAGATGGTAATCACTTGGAGATTTTAAGTATAGTTCCTTCAGCAATATTCACTGAATAACAACTAACTACCAGGCATGATAAATCCAAAGACTACTCTAACCTTGTAATTATCAGAGTCAATGATGTTAAAACATAGAAAGTAGATGAACTAGCTACATTTCAACTTACCTTTTTTTCCTCCTGCTGTATTATTACTTCATAAAATCGTGGGAGATATGAGCAATGATTTTGCTGTTGATCTTTCTTGATATTAATATTTTCATAATGAGGTGTCTTTTTCCTTTAGAAAAGTCAGAAAGAAATTGAGGAACTCTCAATTTCAAATACATAATTATTTACTTAAGCAAAGAGAATACTTTTACACTAATGTTTCCTGCTTAAAACGTATGCAATAATGAGGAGCCTGGGTGGCTCAGTCAATTAAGCGCCCAATTTCAACTCAGATTATGACCTTGCAGTTCATGAGTTCAAGTCCTGCATCAGGCTCTCTGCTGCCAGCACAGAACCCGCTTCACACCGCCTGTCCCTCTCTCTCTGTGTCCCTCCCCCTTTCTCTCTCACTCTCTCTCAAAAAATAAAATAAACATTTTTAAAAAACGTAGGGGGAGCCTGGGTAGCTCAGTCAGTTAAGCGACTGACTCTGGCTCAGGTCGTGATCTCATGGTTCGTGAGTTCAAGCCCTGAGTCAGGCTCTGTGCTGACAGCTCAGAGCCTGGAGCCTACTTTGGATTCTGTGTCTCCTCCCTCTCTCTCTGCCCGTCTCCCACTCACGCCTCTCTCTCTCTCTCTCTCTCTCTCTCAAAAATAAATAAACATTAAAAACAATGTTTTAAAAATCATATGCAGCAATAAGATTATCTGGGTATTGGGGTGCCTGGGTGGCTCAGTCAGTTAGGTGTCTGACTCCTGATTTCAGCTCAGGTCATGATCTCAGGGTTGTGAGATGGAGCCCTGGAGAGATTCTCTCTCTCTTTTCTCTAGCCCTCCCCTGTTCATTCTCTCTCTCTCTCTCAAAAAAAAAAAAAAAAAAAAAAAAAAAAAAAAAAAAAAAAAAGATAATCTGGTTATGTTGGTTAGTTCTGCATTTTCCAATTCAGAGCATTATAATAAACCTATACTAATAATTACTCCAAATAAAAAAATAGGATGTAGGATTTATGTCCAGAGGTTTGTTTGGTTTAGGGTTTATTTGCTCATTTTTATCCAGAGCTTAAATAAAAAGTTACCAAAAATTTTTTCCTGTGAATTCTATTTAACAGAAAACATCTTTCAAATTTCAAATCCCCTGATACCTCAACTAAAATGAGAGGGTAAAGTTCTATGCTATTTATAGCACACACACACACACACACACACAAAAAGGCATAAAGACCTTTGAAAACAAAAGAGAAAGCTTTATTTTTCTCTGAAACCACAACCTCAAGAAAGAATAAGAAACTAAGTAAACAGTGATTAGGAGACCACAAGCTTCAGAATCAGACATCCTGATGTGAATCCTAGCATTGTTATCTATTAGCTGTGTGACCTTACACAAATCATCTTACTTCTCTAATCTTCAAAGTAGATTCTTCACCTAATTGGAAACAGTAACAACCAATTCTCAAGATTGTAATGATTAAAGTGGATAATATAGGTGAAGTGTTTAATGCCATACATGGCCCATAAGTACACAGTAGCCATTAGCTATTATTATTACAAGAATTATTATTTAATAGGTTATACTGACTATACTGTTTTCTCCATTTCTTAAACAGAACATCCAAAAAACCTCATATTAAACATTTCTAATGAACTATACTGAACATAAGCATTTTCAAAAACAGATTAATAGAAAAACTTAAAAACAAATGTTTAAGTCACATAATTGCAATTATTTTCTTTGACATTGCTATGATTTAAATATACATTTAACATCTCAGTTCACTGGTAAATGCTCACTTTATTGATTCTTTTCACATGAAATTCAACAAATTAACTTGTTTTCAAAACCTCAAATAGTTGTATGGATTATCAAATTTATATTTGGGAGATCAGAAAGATCACATATCATTTAGGTTGGTGTCTTTCCCAAAAAGAGACCTAGAAGTTTGTCTTCCCATTTACAATTCAATGACCAAGTATCTCCACTTTTATACTATATCAGATCTCCCAGAACAATTCCCACTTGATCAATAAAGCAAAAAAGTAAAAAAAAAAAAAAAAAAAAAAAAAAAAAAAAAAAAAAAAAAAAAAAAAAAAAAAAAAAAAAAAGTTAAAAAAGGGTAGAAATGTCAGTTACCAGAAGGAACCAAGACAATTCCAACTAAAAGGTACAGTGAAGGCAGCAACACCAAAGAGCAGACAAATTATGGAAATGGTGACATAACTGAAGCAGTCTGGAATGCAATCTGTATGAGTACATTCCTACAAGCAAAAGTAAAAAATGCAAATGGAAGAAGAAATGCAGGAAATAAAAAAAGCTCAAAGAGAAAGTAACATTACAAAGCCAGTAATTAGAATGGGAGTGGGCGATAATTCAAGAAACAAAAGAAACTTAGGAAAAACTACCAAGCAAAATCAGAGCAACACGGTTAGACGGAGTCCTGGTTATGCCTGAAGTATTTAGTCAGAAGTGTAGTGAAATGGAAAGAAAGCAATCATCAGAGAACACATACCTTTGAAAAGTTAATTTTGCTTCATGTTAATTAAACCTCAATAAAACTGATGAGAAGGTAGGCAAGGCAAGCAGGCAGACAGACAGATTAAACAGACAGACAGATAAGCAAATCAGCCAAAATGGAAGAAAAAAGACAAGATTAGGATACTGAATAACAAAAGCATATGTCAAGGGGATGAGCAGAGTTAGTAAAACCATTTCACAGACTTTGTTTTGTTTGGAAGAATGACAAAGATATTAAGTTTAGACCCCATTAAGCTAAATGTACATATTAAAGTTCTCATGTAACTACTAAAAGAATAAAAGTACAAGATGTACCGCCTATATTAGGAGAGTGAAAAAAATGAAAAAGAAAAGAGAACAGGTATAAATTCCCCAAAACAAGAACCATGTTTTATTCTTTTAATTCTCAGTTACTATGTTTAGTACTAGCACATAGCAAGAATTCAAACAATGTTTGTTCAATGAATGAACATTAGCAAGGGAGTCCAAGCAAGAGAGCCTAAGCTACATCCACCACTGGCATATAGATGAGTCTAAATCTGTGTAGGAAACTAATTAGATAGGTAATCACTGTGGGACTTCTTAGAAGAAAACTCATTCTATTAGAGAAAGAATCAGGCAGATAAGCTGGATCCTGTTTAAAATTTTTAACAATGAAAGCAGGTGACAGGTTCTGAGAACAACACAGTATTGTTTCTCAATTTTCCCCTCCAGGTACCCATGTCTAAGGCCTTACTGTAGGAGGAGAGAATAAAGATAGAAAGAGTTATTTGTCCGGAAATGCATTTCTTAAACTTCATAAATATAACTTTCAATCTGATGCTATGGCTCTGACCCTGCCACCCCCCACCTCCAATGAGAATGGTTTATAAATCTATCATTTAGTCAGAAGAATGGACACCAGAGCCAGGGACAAGATAAATACTGAGTCATCTTCTTTTGTATTTTCTCTGATCTTCTGTGCATATTTTAGTACTCAGACACATGGGCTGTACAATTACAAACAGACCTCAGTTAAAGTCTAGCTCTGTCACTTAACAGCCTCATGATCTTAAATGTTAATTATTTTTTGACCCTTGCATTTTTCAGTGATAAATATGTATAACAGTGATTACACAGAGACTTGCAATGATTAAATGAGGTAATACATGTAAAGCAGGTAACACAGGATCTGGCTCGCAAAAAAAAGCAATAGTTTTCATATAGCCTATTCCAAAATATAATACTTCTTGGAGTTTTTCATACTGATTTGTCCTTTCATAACAGCCTGTCCTAAATTATTAGAATACTTTCCAGTCAAGAACTACATTAAAAGCGTATTACGTTTACTTACTGGACTATATCATACTGCCCAGGACCAGGCCCTGACTTCATAGGAAACTGGAGTCTTCCCAAAGAGTTGCCAAAATGTATCCCCTTATATTTCAAAGTTGCATTGGAAAAATCCTTAAAAAAAAATTAAAAAGGTGAACATGAGACATAGTTTAAAAGAGTCGTGAAACAATGTTTCATTTTATTTGGGTCTAAATCTAAAACAAGGACAGCCTTAGTCAAGGGGGTTCCACTAACAAATGCTAAAGTCTCCTTCAACCTAAGTTATTGCCGCTGTGCCCCATCCCACTCCTGACTCAGCCAAGACTCTAGGGGAAAAGTTAGTATATCCTCAATCAGTATGAACGGCTTTGTCTTGGCAGTGCACGAAGCAATCTAAAACCTTAAGGGCAATAAAGATGAGCTTCTCATTGTTTAACAAAGTGAGGATGGGGCAGAACTGTATGATTTAGGGAATAGAAAGTCTGTTAAAAACGATCTTAATTAAATAGAAATTAATTTCAAGAAAGTAAATTCAAATTCAAATATCACAGATATTAAAGAACTTCTAATTACCTGGTATTTAAAACTATAATCTATTCATGTAAACTTTTCATAAAGTAACAAATACATGACAAACAAATTAAACACTACCCCTCGTTCATTTTCTCAATGCTTGAGGTCCAAACACTACAGAAATTATTTGTGATATGAGAAATGAACCATCATGTTTCCTTTGCATCCCCTGTAATGTCAATTTTTTAAAATCAAGCTGATGAACATCCACTTTTATTTTTTTTATTTTTTAAATGTTTTTATTTATTTTTGAGACACAGAGAGAGACAGAGCATAGTGGGGGAGGGTCAGAGAGAGGGAGACACAGAATCTGAAGCAGGCTCCAGGCTCTGAGCTGTCAGCACAGAGCCCTACAGAGGGCTTGAACTCAAGAATGGGAGATCATGACCTGAGCCAAAGTCGGACACTTAACCGAGTGAGCTACCAGGTGCCCCAATAAATGTCAAAATTAAGCATGACCCTGAAAAGTTCACTTCAGAGAAGTTAAAGGACCTGCTTTCATTAGAAATTAATAAAATAATAAAATATAACATAAGAACAGTAATCTCTCTTACAGAAATTCTTTTTTGTTGACCTAATATATTCTAAATTGAGCAATCACTTAGGAATTTTTTAAATCATTTTTTAACCAATGGTAAAAGGTAAACTCTATTTTTTAATTCATATTTGTAAAAACATAGCTTTAAAATAAGCTTGGATAAATACTCTAACTTATATACACATAAAAAAATAAAATCCCCATAATAAACTTGTAGGTTAACTGCATAAAACAGTGTCACCCCTTCTACGTGACTATTACTCTTCTAGAATAGTGAGACCAACCTCTGTCAATTATCATAAATAATCATTAATGAAATAAATAGCACTATTAGCGATGGATAGTGTAATTCCAGTTCAAAATGGTGAATCAAACCCCACATCTGCCCAACTCCTACTAAAACTTCAAAAGGAGTGCATAAAATAGACACAAATTAACAATGCTAGAAACTAAGAGAAAGTGTTATTCACATGCCAAAACTTCAATGGATTTCTGGGAAATACAGCACAGCAGAGACTATAACTAGAAAAGGAACTCATTGTATATGAAAAGAACCTCCTCTGAGGCTTTTGATGATCCCAAAGAGACAGAAACTAGAGATAAGGATGGACTCGGGTGGTGGGAGCAAGTCTCAAAATTCCTTGCACCCTTTGAGATTTGTGCCAGGGCCATTACGTGAAGTGATGAAAGACAATGTTAACACCCACTCTATTCTTGGCATACATGGTTGAAAATAAATTGGAAGCACAGCCATTGCCTCCAAGGAGGACACACTTTCTATTTACAGAGGCACCACTCCAGAAAGCTTCAGGACACCACAACAAAATCCAAAAAGAACCTGGTACAGCACTAAAATTCCCTACTATGTCAAAATGCCTTTTACTCCCTAGGACTTACCATTAATCACTAACCCTCACATGTTGTATAATACAAACACAATAAAACTAAACTGTCCCTTCCACACCCACCAGATCTTCAAGAATTAAAAAATAGGGCCAAGACAATCTCTGAGAGAATTTTGATGCTTCTATAAAGTGAAATGGGACCTTTGCTGATTCTTTTTATAGATGCGATCACAAAGAGAAATTGAACTACAGTTTCTCTACAGGTTTCCCTTGCTTGATTTCCCTTGTCTGTTCCTTGCTTGGGGGTAGTAGAGGATGTTGGAGCCAAGGGTAAAGAAACAGAGTTAATAATTATTTCTAAGTAGGATTCAGACATGTCTTGAAATGTCTGGTGAACTGAATGGGCAAACCAACCAGAAGGCAAATGTGAAAACAAAACCTATAGGAAGTAATTAATCATAATGACTCTCACCCAGTAAGAAATTCGTACTGTCAAAAGAGTAGCAATGCTAAATACTGAATATTTTCTGTTGACTGAATTCACCACCTAACAGTCCCCACTGGATTTATGCAAGTGTCCTGTGGGGTACAAAGAGGCTATGATAAAAATCTAAAAGACCTCTTTCATTAAACACTGGTAAAACTGAGCGATACTTTCAGACCCCTCTAACACAGTATAACACAAAGACAGAAGAACATTATGCCCCCAACCTCACCCCAGCTCATCACGCACTTTAGCTGTGATCAAGTACAATGGTAGAAACGCCCAGCAGAGAGCACCATCTGGCAAGAGACTGAAGAGCCTGGTGGAACAGCAGCCTTCTCCGTGGAAATAGACTTGTCAGGGAGCATGGTCCAGACAGCCTCCTGAGGACTCCCAGAAACACCGGGGAAGGAGAAGTTTGCAGAAGGCTAGAGGACCTCTACCATCATTAGGAGGAGACAACATACTTATATTTGAGCTATTAGCAAAGCTGTGACTCTCTTTAGTATTCACAATCCAATGAAGTCTGGAAAAACTGGTTGTATAAATAAAAAAGGATTAATCCTTATTTCCACAAGAAATATACTGATCTCAATGTACTTAGATTATTAATGCATAGATCCCTTCTAATGAATTACAACACAAATAGAAGAGAGTATACATACAGAGTACATACATACATACATATATAGAAAGTATATATTGCTTTGGCACTCCCGAGTATAACACAAAAGGGAATAAGGCAGTCAGACCATCCAAAGATTTCCCATCTTCACTATGGATGTTCAGCTTTAACACGCTATGAAGCTATAACACTATAAAGCACTAAATCAAAGTAAGATGATATTATTACTATTATTACAGTCATAAGTACGCTTTCTAGCCGATCCATAATTCTCAAGCCCAGATCTTTGTCAGTACTAGAAGGAACAGAGATATGAATAAAAATGGGAAGAGCTATCCCACCAATCTCTGTAACACATAGAGTATACACTGATTTGGCACTCCTGAGTGTAACACAAAAGGGAATAAGGCAGTCAGACCATGCAAAGGCTTTGGATCTGGCTGCAGACACAAATGCTATAATACCTAGCACAACAGCATAGAAAAACGGCACAGACTAACACGTCCAGCAGAGCCACAGATGGTAGTAGAGGAATGCTGGAAGAAACTGCGGCATCCCCTAGAGGAGCTGAAAAGCAGCCTGTTCCTTCAGGCCAGTGACAACTCCAAAGACTGCTGCACCCTACAGAGCTTCAGGAAAAGGAAGAATGGAAAGCCACACAACACTTTCTTTTGCTAAAGTACGTGTTCTAGACCATCTTTCACATGCAATTACCTAATATAGCCATAAATTTCAAAGTACATATGTGGTTTTGCAGACAGAAAAAGTGTAATTTCTCCATTTGTTCTGTACTTTATTTCTACTTAGAAATTAAGTCAAATTTCATAATTGTGCAGATTTTTGGCATAATAAGAAGTGAAGCACACAAATGTAGAACTCTGTTCTAATATAATATAGCCATTTTAGGTATGTTAGATGTTTTATATATTTCAGGCAGGAGCATATCCATTTTTATTTACTATAGCCTAGAGATTTTTTTATTCATTTTTGAGAGACAGACAGAGACAGAGTATGAGCAGGGGAGGGGCAGAAAGAGAGAGAGGGAGACACAGAATCAAAGCAGGTTCCAGGCTCCGAGCTGTCAGCACAGAGCCCAACACAGAGCTCGAACTCACAAACCGCGAGATCATGACGTGAGCCGAAGTCGGATGCTTAACTGACTGAGTCACCCAGGCGCCCCAAGCCTATAGATTTTTTAAATATCAATATTGTAAGACAGCATTTTGATAAATCATCTTACATCACATTTTTAAAGCCTAAAAAATACATGTTAGAGTTTTATATTAATTCTTTTAACATGGCACTTCAAAACCTTGAGCAGAATTATGTCTAAGAAGCTTTCTTCAGGTTAATTTCCACTGTTCTGATTTTGTCCAGTAGAAGGGAAGATTATGCACACATGTGCATATTCACCATTCAACACATTAGCAAAATCCTTTTCCTGTATATATACTAACATTCATTTCACCTAAACCATGTGAATTGACAACTACTTAATTCACTAACCTCTGACTGTGGAGGTTACTCAGGTAAATGTTCAATCTGAAATTTAATTTAAAAGCCTCTTAAAAATGCAACACAGAAAATGAAAAATAAATTGATGCACTCTTAACTCTAAATCATACCCTCTTTATATCAAGAAGTGTTGACAATACCAATTTCAAGGTCATTGTCAACTTGGAAAATCATTAGCAAATAAAATATGACTTAATTGAAGCAAACTCAGCATGGAGCTGCATTATTTTAAGTGAATGTTGTAATATAACTTGAAGAAGAATTATTAACTGCCACTCCCATTGACAATAAAATGTATGAAGAAGGGGCTATGCAACTTTTCAACCACATCTTTTCCATAATTAAGTATGGAAATAGGATTTGTGAAGAATTAAAAGTCCCAAAGTGCATCAATTCAAACACTAATGGACTGCTCTCCAGCATGGCAGCACATAGGTATTTCCCAGCATGTTATCATTAGCAAATGTCAATGCCATAATTCCAACCACAAACGTTTGAAATTTCAAGCTTGTGAAATCCACTTCTGGAAAGTAGACTTCTAATGGTTACCTG